ACCCCTGCCCCCCCACCTCCCACACCCAATCCACCTGTCTACCTTTGAGCACTGGGGTAACAGGCACCCACAACCATATTGAATTTTACGTGGGTGCTGGGGATCCAAACTCAGGTCCTCATTCTTGCACAGGAAGCACTTTAGCCTGTCAGCCATCTCCCCAGCCCTTGAATGGTTACTTCTATGCTGTGTTGATTCCTCTTCAAATTATGTGTGTATGTATATGCATATTTTTATACACACATATATATGGCTTAAAAGGGGATCCTTCTGCTGACCTGAATTCTCAAGAAAGGCATCAGGCATCAGAATAGAGCCATGAACAAGCTTGGGTCCGTCCCCGTGTCATTGACCCTGTTCTCCTCCCCGCCCCCCCGCCCCAGCCTTTCACATTCACTTTCCTCTTCTTGTTTCCCCAAGCTGTTCACAGGTTTTTCAAAGCCTGGAAGGACCATAGTCAAGGCAGAGAGGCCCACTTTGATTGCTCTGAGAAGGGCCTCTTTTGGACCCAGATCACTGTGAATTAGCACAGCACACAGTGCTCCTCTGTGGCTAGGTTTAGCAGGTTGGGCAGGACAGTGGGGGAAGGGCAAACCTAGGTCACCAAAAGGGGAGTGTTCAGCCTCCAGCAACCTCAGGAGAGAGTCCTTGCAGCCTGTAATTAGGGCCTGTGGCATTTGCCCTAAGGTCAATGCTGGAGAAGCAGTATTTGTCTATGCAGTATTTCTCTATGTGAACTATAGTTCACAGAATAGAATCTCTCCTCCCTGTGACATTTCCCACAGTTGGAAGTAGAGCTAGAACTTGAAAGAAGATGTGAGATCTTTCCGTTGTTTCACCCAGTACTGTCTGTTTAGGTGCAGGGAAACATTAATGTTTGTTTTCTTCTTTTTCTTTGTTTGAGACAGAGTCTTACTATATAGACCTGCTGGCCTGGAACTTGCTATGTAGACCAGGCAGGCCTCAAACTGGCAGATATCTTCCTGCCTCTGCCTCTCTGAGTGCTGGGATTAAAGGCTTGAGCCACTAAACACAGCTTTAGGGAGACCTTCCTTCCCGGAGTCCCTGGCTGGCCTGGAACTCATTATGTACACTAGGCTGGCCTCAAAAGTATAGAGATCCGCTGGGTATGGTGTGGCCCACACCACCTTTAATCCCAGCACTCGGGAGGCAGAGGCAGGCTGATCTCTGTGAGTTCAAAGCCAGCCTGGTCTACATAGTGAGTTCCAGGACAGCTGGGGCTACAGGGACACCCTGTCTCAAAAAAACAAAAACAAAAACAAAAAAGAGATCCACCTGCCTCTGCCCAGGGAGACATTTCTAATGAAGGAAGCTACCATTGAGGATCTCAGAACTTTACTGAAGGGTGGCACTGGTTAGAAAGATCAGGTCTGCTTCTATGGTAGAGGAAAGGGATTAAAACTTACATATGGTTGAATGTTAACTTTTTGTTGTTGTTAATTCTAACAGCATAGTCTCCAGGAGCTGTGGGGAGAGCAGTGGGACCTGAGTTTTGTGGCATGAAAATGTTCAGAAGGCAGGTCTCAAAATATCATCTTTAAAAATTTTTATTTTATTATTTTTATTTTATTGTATGAGTGTATTGCGTGCATGTGTGTAAGTGTACCCGTGTCATGCAATACCCACAGAGGTCAGAAGAGGGTGTTGGATCCCCTGGAACTGGAGTTATGGACAGTTGTTGGAGTTATGGACAGCCTTGTGGGTGCTGGGAATTGAGCCTGAGTCCTCTGGAAGAGCAGCCACTGACCATCTCTCCAGTCTGCATTTTTTAATTTTAAAAATTTATTTATTTTTATTTTATGTATATAAGTATTGTGCCTGCATGTGTCTAAGTATGCCCATGTCATTCATGCAATGCCCTTAGAGGTCAGAGGGTGTCAGATTCTCTGGAACTGGAGTTATGGATGATTGTTAGCTGCCATGTGGGTGCTAGGATCCAAAATACCTTTTGAAGCATAAAAGTTTATTCATTTACTGGGTGTGGTAGTATACACCTTTAATCCCAGCACTCAGGAAGCAGAGGCAGGCAGATAATGGTAGTTTGTTTTACTTCTTTCTGTCTGATTTGGGTGCCTCTTCTTTTTCTTCCCTGGCAGACATTTTGGGGACAATCCTGATTCTTGAGCAGGGAAGGGATGGTGGCCATTGGCCACAGGAATTTTTTATTTCTTCACTTTTTGTTATTTTGCTCCATGGTTAAATCTTGATGCCTGAATAGGAACTCAATCTTCATTCCTTCCCATATAAAATGTGTCAAAGCCAAATTCCCTGTTTTGTCCTCGGAGAACTCTTCAGCTCAACATCTCTCCCTTTCCTTTTTTTTTTTTTTCCTGGTACTTTTGCAGACAAGAGTAAGGAAACAGTCCTGGATGAAGTAAATATACACACACACACACAAACACACACACACAAAAACACAAGCTTCCCAGAGTAAGCCTACACGAGTGCTTAACTAGAGGGAGGGCAGTGAGAAATGGGATCAGAGCGAGAAAGAAGCATAGAGGACACATGGTTGAAAAGGAGAGACATGGAGGGGAAGGTGGAACTGCAGAACAGCCGGAGAAGTATTCTGACACTAACAGCTTAA